GAGAAAGAAAAAGAAGAAAAAGAAAGAAAACTGGGAAATGAACTGGATATTTTTGTACTTATTCTAATAAAAGTTTCAGCTGTGCATTTTTATGATCTTGTCAGAGAAAAAGGATACTCAGTATTTACTAAGTATTTTGTATTGTATAGAAATCATAAAGAATGTTGTTTATGGCTAAGTGTTTCTTTACTATTATTACTCATGTCATTTACCTCTACTCTGTAAGAAATCTTCTGGGAAAATATATTTAATTAAAATTTCACCCCTTTTTCAACAGAAAAAATAATCTTGCTTTTTCCATAATATCAGCTATTTTGTACTTCCATTGTCATATAGCATTCAACATTTTGAACGTAATGAATACTTAGAATTAAACTTTATTTTCCCATTTTTATCTCATACTTTATAAATATCTGAGGAAGACGTTGAGTTTTCGATTTGTGATTAAATGTATTTTATTTCTTTTCCTTACTTACAGCCATTGAGTAAATCTGCACAGAAGTAAGCAAAGTCCTGTACCAGGGTGGCAGACTGCAACATTATGGTTTTACCTTCACTAGCCATTGGATTTCTTCTTAAAATATTTTTTTTAAATTAGGATTAAGGTTTTATCTTAATCCTTGGGTTTGCAAAACTGATGCATGTCCTTATGAACATAACAGGGTTTGGAGCAGTCACTACAAGTTAAATCTTTTAATGAAACTTACTTTATCTTCTGTCCCCTATTGGCCAACCTCTGCACCTAATATCAGTAACTACAATGGTTTATAAATTATGAAATTATAAATTCTGTCAGGTTTTAATACTTCTTCTCTAAAAAGATTTCAAAGAATTACATAGAATGCAAATTAAAAAGACCGGGAAATTTTATAGTGTCAAAACCTTTACGAGCCTGCATTTAAAATATTTCTCAACAGCAATTCCCTGTCCTCACCGTCAAGTTTTGACCTATTTCTCTGTGTATATATAATTCAAATAATAAAACTTGTTTCCTTACAATAAAGATAAGCATTTTTATAATAAAATAAACACAATTTCATGTTAGTAATTTAACTTGGAATAGATATAAGAACTTCAAATTGCATATGCATACACTTGGAGTATAATATGCCTTTGGGGAATTGTATACAGTACTTTCTACCAAAATCAAACTTAAGTAACTAATAATGGATGCAAAAAGTTGTGAAAAATTTAATTATTTCCTATGACTTCTTTTCCCATAGTAGAATGCCAGTGTTGTATTTACTTGTCTTTGCATTTTCTTTTTTTTTCATTTTTATCTTTTCTATATATTGTTTGTATTTTTCTATTTTATATTAAGCCTAAGCAAGAATAAAATGAATTTGTTAATTCTCCCATATGGTAAAGATCATGAAAGTTGACTCTTTGAGGCCTTTTACTAGATTCAGGATTTAAGACATTTTCTAAAGCATTAATTTCTAACATTACAATTATAATAGAACCTATATCGAACACTTACATGAAAATTTAGGGAGGTGAACTAGTACATTATTAGGCAGAGATAATGGTATACAGAAATTTATCATTGTTTCCATGAATTACTCTATATGAGATATGACATAATATTAGAAGTATTACATAAAATATTTTACTGAACATTACAACAATTTGTAAGGTGAACAAAATAAGTTTGTATCTGGAAATAGACATGGCTAGAAATTTACTACACATTTACCATAGAGAAAGTTGACCCAATGCCTGTCCAGTAGTAACTATATTTTACTACTATATATATTCAATATAGAATTCCTTTTCATTGAAACGCAGAATCCATTGCTAGCAATACCACATATGTATTCAAGGCCCAGTATATATTAAGTGTAAGCCTAAGGGAAGGAAATGTGTATATAATTTACTTTGGAATGATATATACAAAATGTATGATATATATTATATATTATACAATCATAAATCTGCCAAACACAGTTTTTCTGTCTAGGGTTATACTTGAGATCCATATAAAACCAAAACAACATCAACATGTTTTATCCATGGATGTCTAGTAAGAATAAAAAGTGGCAAAATACTTGTGTCTATTAATTTTCAATTCAGAATGAAATTACACACCTAGTAGTTGTTACTAAGTAAGATAATGGTAGTTCTTCCTGGAGAAGCTCCACACATATCTCCTTCTAGCAATGGGAAGCAGGGGCACAGCACTTACTGTGTGAAGTCTTGAAGGGCACAGAGGAAACAACACAGTGCCATGTGAAAGATTACCTAAAATGGTTAATCTTTCATCTACTAAATTACATGCTCCTTTCATAGGGAAAAGAGTGGAGAAAGACTTGTGGTGAATACAGATATGGCTTCCATAATGATACTCTCCACATAGAGAGTCAAAATAGTTGACACCTCTCATAGGCAAATGTGAACACAAATTTAAATCTACTTCTACTCCTCAACACTCAGATAAGCTTTAAATTATTTGCTTAGAAAATGTTGCTATGTAGAGTGTCATGTAAGGAGTTATCTTGGGGGAATGTGATGATATAAATAGAATTCTTAGTGTACACTGAAAAATGACTTGATATAATACACACATAGGGCATACTCCATTGAGTATATCATGAAAGAGATAAACATGGGATACTTGAAGAGTGAAAGGTTTTCAGTGTGGAGAAAGCTTATTTTATGATAAGGAGATGCACATGAAGTCTTTTGAGACACAATACATACAAAAAACAATAACATGTAAAAGTAGATACATAGATGATAGATAGACGACAGACAGATGATAGATAGATAGATAGATAGATAGATGATAGATAGATAGATAGATAGATAGATAGGTAATCTCTGAGCATACTGGAAGGAGAAATTGGAAACTGCAAGATTACATACAGAATTTTCTAAAAATAACACTATTATAACACTTTCTAGGGAGATTAGACATATGTTTTAGATAATCTTAAATTTATAAAATTGGTAGTAAAAATACAAACATGAAAATGCAAACTAAAAAGAAACAATTCAAACAAAAGTTACTACAGTATTTGCCTTATACATAAATAATTTTAAGCAGTATATTTCAATAGTCTATGAATTTATATCCATG